AGACTTCCTTGATTCCTCTTTTCCCCACTTCTTCCCCTGAAAGATTTCCCAACATCGGTCTACTTCTCCTCATCTGCTGTCACCCAGGTGATCACTGCTAGCTGCCTGGACAGCGATACTCCCACCTACCTCACTGGTCTCAGCTCCACTCTTGACCCCTCCAATCCAGGGTGACCTTTTAAAAATAGAAATAGGATCGTGCTATCCCCTACTTAGGAGGCCTCAGTGACTTCCCACCCTGCCCTCATGACCATTTCTGGCCCCACTGGCCTCTCTCTGCCTCACACTGTCCCATGGTCATTCCCTCTCATTCCTCAAGTCTCTGCTTAAATGCCACTGCCTCCAGAAGCCTTCCCTGTCTGCCACTCTAGCTCAGTGCAGAGGATTAAAGAGGGGTGCAAATCCTTTGACAGTCCTCCAGCTAGAGGAGGGCTTTGTTTCCTGTTCCCTTGACGCTAAGCCAGGGCTGACAGTGATGCTATGCCCATTCCAGGCCTCATCTCAAAGAGGACTTCATTGTCCCCACTGCTCTCTCAGAGTCCTGAGATACCATGTCTGGAGTCCAGCATCTGGCTCAGACACCAGACAGAGAGGCTCTGACTCCACCTGGAGAAAGAGGCAGCTCAGCCGAGCCCAGCCTCCCAGCCATCCCCACCAAAGCAGCAAGTATACGTGTGAAGCTATCTTGGACCTTCCAGTCCAACCCAGCCACCAGCTGAATATCGCTAAGTGATCCCAGTTGATGCCACATAAAGCAGAAAAATCACCCAGCTGAGCCCTGTCCAAATTCCTGACCCACTGAATCATGAGATGCTTTAAGTTTGGGGGGAATTGTGGTTACACAAAATAGGTAACCAGAACACAGCGTATTATATTTACTTCCATTCTAGCAATCATTTGATGGTACATCATCTTTTATTTTTTAATGTTTGATTCTTCATTTCTCTTCTCCACTAGATGCTGAATTCCACCGTGGCAGGAACCAAGTCTATCTTGTTCACCACTATAACCCAGGGCCTGGCATGTGGCAGGGGCTCAATAAATATTAGCTGACTAAGCAAATTGACAGATACAGAATATTATGGGCACACAGATGAAGCGTCAGGTCAGACTCAAGATAGCTTTCCAGAGAACATGACCCCCAAACTCTGACCTGGAAAGCAAGCAGGTGCAGGGCTCAAAGAATGGAGCCATAGGGACTGGGTGCTTGCCTCAACCACACCAACCCTGGGCACTCCCCAAGCCCTGTGCTCCGTCTCTCAGAAGAGAATATCTAAGAGCAGGGGGCATGTTTTTTTCATCTTTGTGTCTTCAGCACAGAGATCAGCCCAAGAAAATAAGAGGTCCTTATTACATGCATTTCAAATAAATAAATGACTGACGTGGCTTCCTGAGGACAGGAGCCTGAGCTAGAATTCAGGAACCCTGAGCTTCCCCATGCAACAGGGGGTTGCTGTGGGTTCTTTGGGTTGCCTGGCACTCAACTGGCTTGAGATAAAACCACTAGCTCCTCTCTGTGTCCCTGGCTTATCACAAGGATTACAAGAGAGCAAAGATGGCAGGATGCTTTGAAAAAGGTATGATTAGAACAGAAATATGTGATGGAAGAAAAGAAACATGTGATGGTACTGTTCTCTCAATACTCAATCTGCCCCAGGTAAACCCTCAGAACCATTGTTTGAGATTTTCTTTGAATCATGTGCCACCGGGAAATCAGACCAGGTAAGTCTAGCCCTGGACACAGCACCTGCTGGGCAACTGTACATTTTTTTATTGTCTAGGTGGGCAAGGAGCAGCTGGGCCCACAGCAAAAGGAGGAACACTGGACTTAGAGTCAAGAGACCTGAGTTTCTGTTATGGACTAAATGTGTGTGCTCCCCAAAAGCCATGTTAAAACTGTGCCTCCAATCCGATGGTATTAGGAGTTGGGGCCTCTGGCAGGTAATTAGGATTAGATGACATCATGAGGGTGGAGACCCCATGAATGGGATTAGTGCCCTCGTAAGAGTCATTAGAGCTGGCTTCCTCTTGCTGCTCTCTGCCACTGCAGAATGCAAGGAGAATTAGCAGCCTACCAGCTGCTGAAAACCGGCTCTCACCAGAACCTGACCATGCTAGCACCCTGATCTCAGACTTCTAGCCTCCAGAACTGTGAGAAATAGATTTCTGTTTATAAGCCACCCAGTCTGTGGTGCTCTGTTACAGCAGCCAAATAGACTAAATATCCCAGTTCTACCACTAATTTGCTGTGAGATCTTGAACAAATCAGTTTCCTCTCTGAACGAAATCTCTCAGCCAGAGTGAACTTTATTAAAGACTGGGCAAATCCCCTTCCTCCTTGCCTCCCACTCACTGGCAAACACCCCATCTCTACCCAGCACAGGGCTGATTGCAATGGGAATAAAATGACAAGATCCTGGACCTTGCCCTCGAGGTATCCTAAGAGGTTACCGAGAAGACAGACAGATACTCTTAAATGAAATATCTATAAGACAGCAGGACAAGGCGTCTCTGGCCTGCCAAGATGAAGATCCTGTGGGCTGAGCTCCAAAGAAGAGGAAGCCAAGGGTCAGTACTAGGGTCAAAGGGCAAGTCCAGACATCCCCTAGCAACTCCAGCTTCCAAAAATCACTGGGGGCTCTGTTGTCACATTAGCATTGCGCAGAGGGCCCACTCCAGCTGCACTGGCCTGGCCCACTCCCTAATTAGACTTTCATACCATGTCAAGCAGCCTGCTAGGCCTAACTGCCAGCTGGGGCTCTGTTCTGTCTGGTGGCTTTGGTTAATGAACCCATGAGGGCTGGCTGAGCTCATTACAGGCAATGCAAGGGAACAGGGGACCCCCGCCTTTCCCCTCTCTCCCATGTTCACACTGAGAATGGGAAGGGAGCTGATTCCAAACCAAGAAGAAGGAGGGGGCAGGAGCTGATGTTCCAGCCCAACCACACAGCCCTGGATGGCTCCTGTGAGAGCTCAGCCCGAGAATCGAGTTTCTGAGCATGTGTCTGCATCTGTGGTTTCAGGGGAATGTCCCGATTCCATGGCTACATCCAGGCCAGAGAGGCAGAACCAGAGTGACAGTTCAAGTCTGTCTCCAGTGACTGCTTCACAGACATGTTTAGTCAACCCGCTTTCTCAGAATTTCACTGTCTTTATCTTTAAGATGGGGTAGTAATGCACACCTGGCACAAAGCAAGTGCTCAGTTAACACCCTCAATAAATTATTGTTGCTGTTATTACTAAAAAATGGTCGAGAAAAGGCACCAAAACATGAGCAGTGGTTGCTTCTGAGCTGCAGGACCGTGAGATCTTTTTTCTCCTACTTTTCTGTACTTTCTAAAGTGTATACAATGAGCATTTTACTTTTGGTACTTGGGAAAAAAACAAAATTTCTCCAAAAAAATCTATCAGAAAAATGAGATGATGTATGTGGAAGGACCTGGACAGTGCCTGGGCAGACGTTATTAATGGGAGATTCCTTCTGCAGTGAAAGTTCAAAGAGATGCAGCTAGGTAGAAAAACAAGCATGCTATTTGCAATGGAGCAATGAATTTTTCCCTTTACTAAAGCAATTGCTTATTCCCAAGTGTCAAGAGAAGGCACAAAGCCAGTGATCCAATGCCATTGCCCAGGCTGAGAAAGATGTTCAGGGGGGTTTAAAGGAAGCATGTTCCCTGGCCAGAGTAGAATGCAAAATTACAGGGGAAGGTGGAAACAACCCATATGTCAATTGATAGATGACTGAATAAACAAAATGTGGTCTGTACATAAACGGGACATATTGTAGCTTTTAAAAGGAAGGAAATGTGTCACAGGCTACAACATGGATGAACCTCGAGGTCATTATGCTAAGTGAAATAAGCCAGTCACAAAAGACAAACACTATGTGATTCCACTCACATGAGGTCCCTAGAGCAGTCAGACTCATAGAGACAAAGTAGGATGGTGGTTGGAGGGAGTTAATTTTTCATGGGTACAGTGCTTCAGTTGGGGAAGATGAAGGAAGTTCTGGGGATGGATGGTGCTGCTGGGTGCATGGCAGTGTGGATGTGTGTAATGTCACTAACCTGTACACTTAAAAATGCTAACATGGTAAATTTTATATTATGTGTATATTACCACAATTTAAAAATATGTTGAAAGGGAGGAAAGAGATTGGACACAGAGGAAAAGGATCGGGTCAGGTGGGTTGAAGCAAGTCTCTGGTCTCTGGGGTCAAGGGCCATTTACTGGAGAGATGCTCTGAGAAGGGGAACCGTCTGGGGGCTGCAGCAGAGGAAAACAGCTGCAGAGTGGTGCTGCCCAGTAAGGGGAATGCGTCCTGGTGAGGTCGTAGCTCCTGCCTCCACTTTTTGAGCATAGAAGGTGTGGTAGCTGGAGGACTCGGAGTCTCCACATACCTGAGAGGAGGGTGCCTCCAGGAACTCAGCACTTGGGGTGTGAGAAATTAGCACACAGAGAGTTTGTGTATCGCAAATAAGTAATAAGGCAGGGAAAGGGCCCCAGCACAGGTCCTCCAGGGGAGCAAGGAAGAGGAATGCTTTGAGCATCAGTTTCATGGAGGAAAAATTCTAAGGTCCTTGTGCTGAAGCAATCTGGAAGTGGGCTGGCTGACCCCGAAATACAAGAGAACTGGACTGGGCCACGATGCCTCAAAGGAGGTGGGGTGTCACCTTGGCCTAAATGGAGGCTGGCTAGCACAGTGCCTGGTAGGATAAGAAAGACAACAACAATTTATTGAGCGCTTACTGTCTGAGACAAGCAGCCTTCTCTGGTTACTCATTTATTCCCTACAGTATCCCTATGTGGAGAAACCATTTCTACCTTCACTTTCTGCTGAGGAAGATTGAGGCTTGGAGGTGAAGTGTCCTGCAGACCTAGGGCCTCAGGGGCAGCCATCTCCCTCCACTGACGCCTTGCCTCCTTTCAGCTTTGCAGCCAACCTCCCACCCACCCCATCACACTGCCTCCCATCGCCCAGACCCCTTGCCCCTTCTCACTTGAACTGGTGTTCCCGGGAGCTGCGGATCTTGGAGGAGAACCGCTCAGCCAGCTTCTCCAGGCTTCGAGAATACTCAAGCTCTATCTCAGCTTTCCGGCGGAAAAACTCCTGGAGGTCCTGTAGCAGCTGCAGTCGAGACTCTGATTGCTGCTCCAAGCATTTGAACTGCTCCACCAGCTGCGTGCGGATCTCTACAGGCAGAGGCAAGGATGAGGAACAGGAGGTCAGGCTGGTGGTGAAGACCGCGGTGGGACCCACCCAGCTGACCCTGTGCCTCCCCCCACCCACCACCACCCAGAGCCTCTCCAGTCATTGGTGCAAGGATCTGGCGCTTGCCCATTTTTGCCACATGGTCTGACCCAATGTTTCCCAAAGTCGAACCACTGGATTATCTCCACCACAATTTTTGTCATAGCCACGTGCCTCCAGCATTATTTCTTCTGAATCATCTAATAAATTTGCTCACTTTTCTTACTGAGATGAACTTATTTAAAATGTACAGTTTTATGTCACTACAGGAAGAGGGAAAATAGGATCACTTGCCATGCTGAAACAGAAAATCAACTCAATGAAAACAAAAAAAAAATTGTAAAATTCTCTCCAGAGACTATTGCTAAGCCTAAGCTGCTCGCTGTCTCATCAACAACAGAACCATGGGAATGAGAGCAGTGCTGAAGAAAGGTGCTGTCTGGACTGAGAAAGGGCTGAGAGGGGGCACTCCTACGTGTCAATTTTATTTAAGGCGGTGCCTGTGCTCCACTCTGAATTATCTTAGCTCAACGCACAAACAGCTCAGGTGCCGCTAGAGGAATATAGCCCACACTTCAGGAAATACTGATGGAGCAAACCAGGTCTGTGTAACCAGGGCAAAAGTTCAAAAGCTGGGAGTGAGTGGGTGGTGGAGATAAAAATCACAGCCAGCAAATCCCAATAACCACAGCCAACCTATTATCCAGCCCATTGTGTTGTCACTGCATTAACTCTTTCCCAGCCACCCCGCAAGCTGCTCGAAAATCAGTCTCCCCACAGCACTCTGCTCATGCCAGCGTCCTGCTCAAATCATCCCATGGCTCCCTCTGCCTGAGTGTTAAGTCCAACTGCCTGGCATGAAATTCAAGGTCATCTACCACCCAGCCCCAAACTCACCTTCTCAGGATTTTCCCCCAATACACTGTAAGACTATCCAAACCAGTCCTTGAAATGCCTCATCCCACCTGCATTAACGGACAGCCTGTCTGAAATGGTGGCTGGCACTATCTCAGCATCCTTTAGAGAAGTGGTCTTCAAAAGGGGCAGCTCTAGGCTGGGGTTTATGAAGACTCCCCCCAGCGTAGACAGGCAGGAAGATTTATTAGCTGGAGATCCTGTTTCCAATCCCACTCTCCTGCTCTGCCTGCAAATGTGCCTCAGTCCAGATGGCACGACCCTCTCTTTTCCCAGCTCCCTCTTCACCACAGTGTTTCTGCCTCTTTGCAGAAGAAAGAGCAACTTCTCTCTCATCCAGAATCTGGCTAAGATTCAGTGTCCCTAAGTGTCAAGATACTTGGGTGCCAAATAAGCGGACAATGGAGAATGTTGATGTTAGCAAATTTTCCTCTAATCTAGGGACCATAAACCCTTGCTATGCAAAATGTGATGCATGAACCAACAGCATTAGCATTGCTGGTGGGAATATTAGAAATGCAGAATCTCAGGCTCCCACCTAGACTGTCTGAATCAGAATCTGCATTTTATCAGGACACCCAAATGGTCTTTATGCACCTAAGGAGAAGCTCTGCCATCAACCACCCTATCCACCTCATTATGAGAAGTATTTCCCATACTATCTCTTTATGTTCAGTAGTTATTTATCAAATTATGAATATTGATATTATTTTGATAAGTTATGTGATAAATCAATCCAAGAAAAACATACTTAGAGTTTCATGTTCAAAGGAAATTTTTTAAACATCCATTTCCATTCACATACATAGTTTGGGTAAAAGGAAGTATGATAGAGTAATCAATAAAAAGTTTTTCAAGCATAAAAATATAGTGAGATAAAATTCTGTTAAGGAAGTAGAAGAGAATTATGAATTCAAGAAGATAAAGAAAGAAACAATGTAAAATTTCTGACTTCTGCAGGTAATTTTTGAAGAATGGTGGTGAATACCAGTGCACGAGGTCTCTCTGGAAAAAGTCCAGTCATTGTTAATATAACAAGAACAGTTTGTGTGACATTGAAGTAACCTGGCAACCAAGAAGAGTGGACTGGAATGCGCATGCATGAACAATGATGACTTCACTGCACTAGTCAGTGCAGGTGGTAGACACTGTTGACTGAGCACGTATACTGTGTGGCTATTGCATTTAAAATGAGTGAGAAAGTAGAGCAACAAATCTGCATCAAATTTTGCATTAAGCTTGAACATTCCTCCATGGAAACTATTCTGATGATTCAGAAGGCCACAGCTATGGGCAACTGGTGATTGGCAGCTTCATCATGACAATGAGCCAGCTCATACATTGCATCTCATGCAGAGTTTTTTGGCGAAACATAAAATCTCCCAGGTGATACAGCCCCCTCGCCCCTACAGCACAGATTTGGTGCCCTGAGATTTCTGCCTTTTCCCAAAACTGAAATTCCTTTGAAAGGGAAGAGACTTCAGACCATTGATGAGATTTAGGAGAATACAATGGGGCAGTTGATGATGACTGGTAGGACTGTGTGAGGTCCTGAGGTGCCTACTTTGAAGAGGACTGAGGTGTCATTGTCCTATGTGCAATGTTTCTTGTCTTCTTCAAGAAAGGCCTCTATTTTGCATATTACATGGCTGGATACTGTATGGACAGACCTTGTATTATGGTATTTATCCAATGACCTGTCAATTATACTCATGAATACATACCCAAAAGAAATCAATGTTTATGTTCATGAAATATACAAAGAAGAAAACACATAGTAGCTTTATAGCCAAATGTTAGACACAACCCAAAATTTCCATTAAGAGTAGGTAAGATTTTTTTTAAATGTGAAATATTCATTTAATGGAATACTATACGGCAGTGAAAATGAACTACAGCTACCTACAGCAACACACTTGAATCTCAAAGATGTCATGTTGATTGAAAGAAGCCAGGACAAAGGAAATAATGCAAAACTTGATTATGGTGGTATATATTACAATATGGTGATAACAGACGTCAGAGAAATGGTCACCTTTGAAGGGATATTGACTGAGAGGAGGCACAAGGGTACCCTGCGGAATGCTGAACACATACCCCACCTCCACCTGGGTGGTAGGTACACTAGTAAAAGTGAATTGAGCTGCATGCTGATGGTCTATGCATTCTACTGTATATAAGTGATACTTCAATAAAAGGTCAAAATTAGAAATTGCTATGTTAGTTTCCATTTGATAGATTCGAAAGAGTAGTGTAATTTTATTCTACAAGGTCAATATTTACAATACAGCAGAAATTATATCTTTTGCAACTACTTAAACTTATAATGAAACATTTCAGATGTCAAGTTAAAATGTGTGAGGCAAAAGAAGGTTTTTTTCTCCAGAAGTTCATTTAGAGGGTAGGCAAGCAAAAAAGTTTTAAAACCAAAACCACTGCTTTAGCGCCCATGTCAAGCACTGCTCCTCCCAGGAAGTCTGGACTGCTCAGCCTCTGTGACCCTCCTCTGAACTCTGATGGAACTTACAGTTACTCTCTGATCATCTCGTGCTGCTTTTTAATTTCTTCATGTATGTGTGTCTTATCTGCCTTAGCTCCTCACTTGAAATTTAAGCACTGAGGGTGGATTCTCCCAGCACATATGGGTCATCGGGATATAAATATCTGTCTGGCAAATTACTATTTACCTCTACCAAGCGCTTTTACCCAAGGACATTGAGTGTTGTGATTATGGGAGTCTCTCCCAACACAACACACCCCCCCCCACACACACACATACCATACCTCACACCCACTCACACTGCACATACTCACACATACCACACACACATACACACACCATAAAATATACCCCACACACACATATACCCCAAACACACCCCACACACCCCACACTCATATATCCTACACAGCATGCACATACATACCACACATTCACATATATACATCACACACACTTATATATATATCCCACATCCCACACACATATCATATAACACATACCACACACAACACATATCACACAAACACACACAGCATACACAAGATGTGAATATTGTTATTATCCATTTGTACAGATGAAGAAACCAAGGCTCTGTGTAAACCAAGATTAGAAACTTGTCCAAGGTCACATTTTTTTCTAGGAACTGTAACAAATTCTACAGGTATACCTATGACATGGCCTACTTGTTAAACTGGATTGAGATGCCATCATTCCAAATGCAAGACCTGCCGTATCAACACATAATTATAAAAATGCTTTCCAAATATTTTCCAAATTACTTTTAGACCATCCACTGTTTGAGACTCACAACAATCCTAATAATCCCTAGCACCTATGGAGCACATCATCTCTTCCAGGCCTAGTGCTGAGCTCTTCAGATATTTATCTCACACAATCTGCGCAGCATCCCCTGTAAGTAAGTGGGAGCTACGAGTGTTCCCCCATCTCTTCCCTGTGAATGAAGACGTGGAGGCTCAGAGGTAAGTAGCCTCTGGCCTTAACAGCTGGTGTATGGCGACTGGCTGAGAAATCAAGCCCAGAGCCTTCAGATGGGAGCAATGACCTCCCTCCCTGACACCTCACTAGACTGAGTCTATGTTATTAAAAACAAGAAAAAAAGCCATGATCTATCTGTATTCAACCTCTTGCATCTTTTCTGTAACAAGATGGTGGTCTGAAGAGATAGTATTTATTAGAAATGCTGCAGAGACTGCCTCTCCCCACTCCAGGGCATAATCAGGAGCCAATGTTCTCATATTTTAGAGGAAAAGCTCATAAATCACACTGTGATGACAGGAGCTGATTTGGAAGGAGCAGAGAAACCTCCCCCAATTCACACAACCAGCTGGAGCCTTCGAGGCTGGGTCATGCCTGGAGCCTCTAGCAGCTTGGCCGCCTCCGAGTCAAGTCTCTCTAACGGGAAGGCGCCCTGGCAGGAGCGCCAGCGCAGCCCGCCTGTGCCCTGGAACCCGGAGGGGATTTGATTACCCATCTCTTTATTGCTAATTCCCCTACAAGTTGCTC